CCTAAACCTAACCCTAAACCTAACCCTAAACCTAACCCTAAACCTAACCCTAAACCTAATCCTAACCCTTAACTTTAACCCTAATCCTAATCCTAACCCTTAACCTAACCCTAACCCTTAACCTAACCCTTACCTTAAGTTGAATCGGCTTTCTTTCAACGCTCTGGCTGTTGTCGCCGCGTTGATGACGTCAGCGACATGGTTTAATCGGGCGCGGCTTAGTCGAGCGCGGTTTTGACGGGTCACGATGAAGGCCAACACCAGCTAAAAGAACTGACATTGTGATTTCACATTGTTGTATATATAAATAAGAAAAAAGACTATAAATAATAATTTATGTTAATTAAATAAATAAAATAATAAATAACATCACAAAATAGAGAAAATAATAAAAAAGTGAAGAAGCTAAATTGCTTTGGGGCTTTAGAATTCAAACAGATAGGCATCTGCTTGCATAACATACCAGACGATAAGAGAGACATCCAAAAAGTCTAGATAGTGGATGTAGCAGAACCTGGAGACAGCAGAATAGAAGAGAAAGAATTGGAAATGATAACAAAATACAAAGACCTACAGATAGAAATAGAAAAACTGTGGCAAAAAGAAAACAAAGGGAATGTCAATAGGAATAGGTGCCTTGGCTGCAATCCCAAGGACTACTTGAACATCAACATTAACAAACTCACCATCAGTCAATTGCAAACAGCTTACTCAGAACAGCTTATATCCTGCAAGGATACTTCTGACACCATAAAACATCAACAATTGCCTATCCTAGGTCCTTGGGAAGGTCTCAATAGGTGAATAAAAAGGCCAAATCCAGTCTGGCTGACTGTGAAATGAACTATAATAATAACTACCGTGCACCAGATGTCCATGCATAATATTAAAAAAATCTTCACTGTTTATTGTTTTTTCTGCTTTTACTTATAGTTTTATGATGCTTGTTGTGTTCTGTCTACATAGAACCATACTTTGTGAGATGGGTGGCTATATAAATTTGTTAAATAAATAAATGTGTATGAAAATCAAATAAACAAGAGGAGAACCGGGAAGCATTGCTGCGAGAACGGCTGGGGGGAAAGCAAGCTCCCTGGAGCTATGCCAAAACACAGCAAGCAAACCGTCAGCAAGAGGTCCACGAACCAGAACCATCCTATAGGGATGGAGTACAAGAAGAGGCATTTCAGACAACTGCGAGGAGCAAGGCAAGCTCCTCAATAGGTCAGAAGCAAGCTCTTCAAAGATCGATGGCAGGGGTGGCGGCCATCGTCAAATGACCACTCTGGAGCCGGGAATACGGAATAAGTTTGGGCAGGAGCGGTATTACGGATGGAGTGCTGGGACTGGAGGCGTGATGGGTTTCAAATCCCGTTCCAACTGATACAGGTGGAATGGGGCCGCCGGCATCCTCATGGACACGCACAGTGCGCGCATGCATCTTAGTGCATCCACGATGCTCCAGCTTCTCCGCAGATCGTTGCGCAGGCACTGTATGCGCAGAAGCCTTTAAACACTGGTAAGGAGCTTGGGCAGGCGGGTAGGCCCTCCAGAGCATCATACTGGAATGGTATCCGGTGCTCCAGGCTGGCTCCTGTATGCCCGTACCGGGGCGCACCGCCTGCAACCCACCACTGGACTAGAGAAAGAGTGGCCGAAGCAAGGGTAAAAAAATTTCATTTTGGTGCTTACATTTTTTTTCCCGGAGCGTAAAATAGCGGCTGAATGTCACCTGGAACATGGAGGGAGAAGGGAGAAAAAGGGGGGTACCATCGGTGATTAAATATCAAGCCCGAAAAGATTTTGATTAATAAAATCAGATTTGGAGGAACTGGGGGCGGGGGGAGGAAAACTTGGAAAATTTGTGAATGGACTTAGAACTTTTGGTCCGGTTTGTGGAAATTTTTGACAAATTATTGACATGATCACATAGAGGGATTTTAAAAGCCACCTATTGGAGAGAAGAAGTACAGTAACATTCTCAAACAAAACCTGACAGTTAAAACTCGACCTTGACCACAGAAGAGATATACTGAGAAGGCTGAAAGGAGTGTGTGATCCCTTTCTATTGTCTAACTTTGCTTTGTTTATGGCTGAGGAAGAAAACAAAATTTTTTTTTTGAAATGGATTGGACTTTTCTGGGACCTGATATTGAAAGGTGGAAACAAGAAGAAAGACTTAATTAACTGTGGAAAAATTATAAAGATATTAAAAGTGTGTTAAATCTGAACATGGAAGGTGGGATGTTTGAGGAATTACTTGAAATGCTAAAAGATGTGCGAGCAACATTAAAAAGTAACAAAGAGCCAGAAAAACTGTTGAAGCACAAAAAACAGGAGTTAGGAGGTGAACTGGCAAGGAACACAAATGAGAAACAAGAAGTTAACAGGGTAGAGAAAGAAACAAAAAATAAAAACCAGTTAGACAATTCGATTGAGATTTACATAGGAAGAGTAGAGAGGAAAAAAGGAAAATGGTACCCAAAAAAGAAATTAGCCAAAAATAAAGAGAGAAATAGTGGGAAGTGAAAAAGAAAAATCCTGGGGATAGTTATCCAAAAAATCTATCAAAAAGTGAGAGAAAAGATCCAGAGGAAAGAAATTATACATATAAAAAGAAGAAAAGGGGGGGGGGACTAGGAATAGGGGATTAGTAAAATAAAATGAAATATGTTGATCATGGTAATGGTATGCAGCTAATTAAGATGTGATTGAACTATATACTAATATTATTAATTGTGCAAATTATTAAGTAAAATGTTGATTATATACAATATTGAACTTGAAGATATATATTACTCCTAGAAAATAGATGGAAATGAAATGATAAACTTGGTTTATTTCTAAAGGGATAAAAATGACATGCTTTATGTATAAAAAAAATAATTTAAAGTTGGAAAATATGGGAAGGAAATAATACAGCTAAAATGGGAAATGAAAATATAATGTAAAATGAATTATGTATAGGTGAAATTGTTAAAGGTGGGAAACCGGACAACACTCTTTTTACAAAAGAATTTTAAATATGTAACAAAAAATAAAAAACTTTGTTTAAAAAAAGAAAATCAAACAAACAAATACATGCAACTGTGATTTCTTGGCAACCCTTTTAAATATGCCATAGTTTTGCCCACTATTCAGTGAATGTAACAGCTCTGATTTCTAAGTAGACATCTATAGAATTGTACAGTAATAGCTATCTGGAGATATGCATGGAAGGATCATTGAAACTTCAGCACAAATATTCATTGCTATGTAGAGCTATGCAGATTAAATTGAATAGAAAAATAAGACAGACATCTCAAAAACCAATAGCAAGTTTATTCTAGCATCCCAATAATTAATTGTTATGATAGTGTAGATCAATTTACATACCTAGTAAAGGATACATTTCAGATCTCTCCTTGGTTAAATAAGCTTTGTAAATCATTCTATTTTTAAAAAATGAGGGTGGGGAGAAGGGGAGAGAGAAGAAAATGAAATTTATGCTAACATTTCCCAAATTACTTTGGAAGAATTACTAATAGTATATCACATTTGTCTTTTTAAGGAAAGAACCTAAATAATTTAATTCTTAATAATTACTGTATTCTAGTCCAGTTGCAGCTTCCATATTGGGCAGTCCCAACAAGGGGTGTTTAATACAGAAATGATTATGAGAAAAGATTTCCAATCCAGGAAATACTATAATTGGTGCACAAGTTGGATCTGTTCAGAAGTCCTCTTAATTATAGCCACATCTGCTTTTCAAGCAGGAGTCATAAGTCAAATTATCAATCAGCCCTGTACAATCCTGTTCAGAACCATAGATGAAATATCTTTGGAATCAAAGCCATTCCATTTCTCTGGGATTATATTCTTCCCCATCCAGACTCTCACAGCTTCCAGGCACTGAGAGAATGTCAACCACACCTCTTGCTCAGCCCAGATTTAAGATAAACAGTTAAGTACCACCTTCCTACTGATGATATCTACATATTTGCAGCTAAAAAGATGCATCATTTGCCTCAGGTGTAATATCATTCTAAACTATTTATTTGGTTTAACATACAGTATATCCAACAAGACATGAGCAAAGTTTTGTTGTGTCTGAGAGAAGAAACAGGGAAAACATAATGCCTTTGATGTAACTTGTATTCCCAGAACCGCTGAAGCAGATAGAAGAAAAGATACATTTTCTTCCTGTAGATATAACAAGAGGATGAGAGAAATCATCCTCCAGCAGTAAAGGGCTTAGAAAACAACCTGCTTTGCTGAAAAGGGATGTTTCCTGAGCCTATTCTGCATTCAAAGGTTTAGGCAGCCAGAGCAAACTTTTTCTTGTGCAGCTATCCACAAGACAAAATTATACTTACGCTTTTTCTGTAATACCAAGAAATTGATAGACTGTTCCAGGGTTCACAACACCTTTCATCTCAATTAATGGGAGCTCTTCAAAGAAGTAGTGCGGCAGTTTAGATTTGGAATAAGTGAGGGCATCACAGCTTACTAATCCTGGATAAAACATCATCATCCGTGCAGCAAGGTTAACTTTTCGTCCAATCACTAACATGGAAAGAAAAAGAGAGAAACTTGCAATTGTATGTACATTTCTCCTCAACCAGTATTGCAAACAAGATTAAGATTAAGATTAAGATTTAGTTTATTTGTATGCTGCCCTTCTCC